ATTGAGAAATATTATATAAAATATAGATATTAGTTTCACAATTTACAATGTTTTATTTCAGGCGTATGATATTTTGAAACAAAGTAATTCAGATGTGGAGATGTTTAATAAGATGATAGAAGCGATAGGTAATATAACATCGTTTGTACAAGATGATCTGAAAGTAGCCGGATATCTTTTATTCAAAAAATTAGCGGCTGCTGTAATCTATAAAACCAATAAAAAGATCAAAGGACCGGTCACATTGATTAAGGCTACAGAAAATTTCTTACATATAGAAAAGGATTATGGTTTATCGAATGTAAGAGTTCCATCTTTTTTATATTAAAGTTCTTCAATATTTTCAATAATTAAGTTCCTTTTTGTAGCATTGTAAATTAACTTAAGTAAGTGTTTGAAGTTAAATTTTATTTTGATGTTTTAATATAATTTTAATTAAATATATTTGAATATTGTCATAATCAGTATCATAATAATTACATCCAAAAATGAAAAATTGATGAAAAAAATTTCTCAATCGAACATTATTATAGTATAGTTACAATATAATATAGTTACAGTATAATATTTACTATCTATTTATCATATATACATACTTTATTAAAAATTAATAAATTTCATTTTAATCTTCCTCATTATTTGTATGGAATTCATATTTAAAAAGTTGAATATTTTATCTTTTTCTTCTTCTTTTCAGATTTGCATACAACCCGTAAGAATAGAAGAGGTGTATGGTAATCATAGGACGATGCTGTTGGGAGAGAGTGCAAAGAAAATCGCAAGTATCTTACGAGTGTAGCTTGCGGAAGAACATCGTATTTTAAGTTTTATTATATTTGAAAATGATTACGTAGCACACATGTCGCGTTGCCGATAGAACTTAATATTTTCCATAATATAAAAAAGTTGCAGAAACATTGTACATAAATGTTTTATTTTAAAACTGCAATCTATTGCAAATATGACACATTATATTGCTACAATGTAACACAAATTTTGCACTGTATGAATTGACATGATTAATAATTTGCAAAAATCTTTCTCGTATACAGCTCACTTCATTATTTTAACTGGTCTAATTGTTGCAAGCAATTGAATCATACAAAATAAAAAATAAGCAAAAATATAGCAAAAATAACAAAAAACAACAAAAATATAGCTTTTTAGAATAGTAAATTTATATGTTACCATTTTTCACGAAATGCAAAAATTTTTATAATTTTTAGAATTAAATTTAAGAATTAATTTTAGAATTACGTATAAGAATGTTTGTTATAATTCCCAAAGTGGGCAAATTAAATGTCCTTTATTTACTTTATGTTAATAGCGGACACAACATTGCTATTTATTTATATGTATATTAATAATTATTCTGTATATTAAAAATTGATTTTCATTACTCTCTTCCTGTTAATTAAAATATTAAACGGGTTGATCTCATTATTTTTAGCTTTTAATTAGAGCTTTTCATCATATAATACAATGATAAAATATTAAGCAACCATAAAATATATCGAAACATTACACTTGATATAGTTCTTAATTATTAATTAAAACCTTTATTATTTTTATTAAATTTTTACTATTAAAATATTCTCGATAGACATTATCTCAGTTATTATAAATTTTTCTCATAGTATGTAACACATTATACGTTTCATTCCATTAATAAAATTACAAGTTCATCTCAACGAAAAAATATATTTTTTACTTTAAAATAATTTAACATGTACATTATCTTTCTTTTTTTTCTTGCTTACATATTATAACGTAACATATTATTATAAGCAAAAATAATTGTGTATACAAATAAATAACACAAATTTATATCATTCAAATTCTCTAATTATTTAATCAAATATATTTTAAAAAACAAATGCATACAAGTAATACTTTACTTATTTTCTTTTATCATATTATTATAATAATACTGTTCAATTATGCCATTTGCGAAAAAAAATTATGAATAAAAATATCTTCGATATTCTTACGATTTGTATGACATTTTCTTTATGAATATTAATAAATTTATGTATTCAATAACTAAAAAAATAATAAAATAAATTTTAATTTAATGCATCGGTAAAACTTAGATCGGATATCGCAGCGTTCTTATCGCATGTGAAAGACACGGTCAAAGCGTAACGAGTACCAGATTTCACTTTTTCAACTAGATGTAAATTTTCGCTTCCTGAAGTAAAAATTGATACTCTTCCTGAAAAAATATTGCTAAATTTTGTTTTATCTTTTTAGAAGATTTCTATAAATTGTAAACGCTTTACCTTTTCTGGGTTCTACTGTAGTATTGACATCATTCTTATCCATAAATATAAATCGGCCACCTTCAAAATCTTTATTAAAATCATTTAAATATAGCAATGCTGTGTAATGAAACGATTCGTATGTTTCCTGAAATATATAATTTTGTTCTAATTCTCTCTCTCTCTCTCTCTCTCTCTCTCTCTCTCTCTATATATATATATATATATATATATATATATATATATAGAGTATATAAAACAAAACTTTCTAATTGTTAAAAAGAGCAATAACGATGTATAACAGACCTTATCGATATGTGGATGCCAGTATTCATCATGTATAGTTTTTGCTGGTTTATTAGTCATCCGCGAGAAAAAGGTAGGTTTGGTTAAATAAATCTTATTTATATCTACACCGAAATTATGCGCTACCGCATGTTGTATTTTTGTTTTCACTACTCTGTAAGTTAAGGAAGAATATAACATGTATTATACAATATTAAATTACTTATTCTTAATAAACAATCTCACAATCAGGTGAATATTTACATTTAACAAAACAATTTATTTAATAATTTGCATACATGTATATTCAGAAGTTACAAATTTAAAAGATAGAAATGTATTTATTTATCTATCATTTATCATAAGGGGATTTAAATAAATTTATATAATATATTATATAGTATTATAGGTGTTGTTCAATTTGAAAGAATGTTTTGCTCTAGATTTACTCCACAAAAGAAAAAATATTGACATATAAACAAAAATCATACTTATAAATTGCTGAATCTATACTGTTGAATATCTTCTTTGCTTCTGATAGTTTATAGATATTGATAAAACCTTGGCTCTTACTAAGAGCACCTGAATGAAGATCCAGAATACTCGCTCCACCATCAGATCCAGCCAAATCTATCCCACTTTTCGCTAGTTTCAGTAAAACATCTGCCTCTGTTGTCGAGACGAGTTTGTCAGTTACAACTCTGCCGCATTTTTCTGGTATACAGCCAGAGTATTTTTCTAACTCGTCTCTATAATCCATAGAGCAGTCAACGTTCTGTGTACGACTTACCAACACGTCTTTTTGCTTTGCCAAATATACTTCTTTACCCTGTCTGTTATTATACCAAACTATTAGCAAGACTCCAAGTATCAGAACACATCTAGACCATACTCTTTGATATGGAAAAGATACAGTAGGTCCATATTTCCTACAAGACATAAAATAAACTGTTAGTTGATACATGGATATTATTTCACTCTTACAAATTAGATGAGTTTTCAATGGGGTAGCAAAGAGAAAAAGCGGAGTATTTGCATTCTTTTATAATATAATAGTAATATTATAATAATAACATTCTTTCAAAATTTGAAAGCTATATCCTTATAATATAAATATCAATGACAATACAAGATATTTTGTTTAATTTTATACTCACAATTCAACGGGTTTGCTCGGTTTTTTCGCCTTGTTTTCCTCCTGTGTTATACTTTCTTTCTGCGCGCTTTTTTTCTTACTTCTCTTCACTTCTTGCGTCGTCATCGTGTATATTGGTATATATTATCACTATTGTTTATCTTTTAATTTTATGTTTAATCCAACTTTTCACAGTTTGTACACATGTCAACTAATGTCAACTAGAAAAGTGTCAAACTCATGGTTACTTACTCGTCAACAATGAATCCAATGTTACGATTTCCTTACTGCTTGCGTTTTATTGCCTTACGTTTTTGTATGTGCCATGGACTTACAATAAAAACACACAAATGAAATAGCAGCTTTAAGTCTAATCTACATTGGTTGCAAGCGTTATAGCGTCATAAGACTTTAAAATTAACGCATCGGATTGGTTGATGCTTATGATATGACCAATGTAGATTAGGCTTTAGACTAAAAATACTAGAGACTTTTGTAGACTCTTAAAAGTGGAGGAAATTTTTCGATATGACTTTTGGTAATCCTGCCCTTCGCCTTCAGAGAGTTCAGACATCAGAGATTCGGACACACATGTGATTGCGTGTAATGTAATACAACGCATATATTCTGAAATCCGAATGTTGCGTTATTATTCTCTTCGTATCGTCACTCGTCTTTGTGAACTATTGTATTCGTGAAAAGTTATGCAAACGATGTAATTCACATCATGCTGTTATGTTTTCTTTATCATTATCAATAATAAACATGCTATCCTTTTTCCGAAAGTTATCAATTGGCGGAAAGATAAAGGATGGTATACTGCCAGGGACAATCATGGGAACGGCAGAGGATCTATTGACGGCGAAGAATCAAACATTAAAGACGGATATCGAGTTAAAAGAAACCGTTTATGGCAAGTTTTGCGCTCTATTTGTGTCTTGTAACATGCGACCTTTTGGATATTGTCCGATATCATTGAGATGGTGCGATATTGCAAATGACTTGTCCCTTATATACGCTTATTAAAACACTGAAATTTTTCAGGCAAATTCTATCAATTTATATTTATTTAGCAATTCTTATTACTTTTCAGATTTATTAAGGACAATCAAAGATCCTGAAAAACCACAAACTTTGGAGCAATTGGATGTTGTCTATGAAGATTGTATCAAAGTTTGCCACAGTACCCCAGGAGGAGTTTCTGTCATTCGTGTGGAATTTAATCCTACAGTACCTCACTGTTCTTTGGCAACCTTAATAGGATTGTGCATCCGCGTTAAATTGGAACGTCAATTATCAGCATCATTTAAATTAGACATCTATATTAAAAAAGGTGCACATTCCACTGAACAAGAAAGTACGTGTACTGCCCCTTAAATCTTAGTTTCAGTTTTCAATGTATAGTGTGTTTCTAATTATATATGCGTTCAATTGCAGTTAATAAACAAATTAATGATAAGGAACGTATAGCGGCTGCAATGGAAAATCCAAACTTACGGGAATTGGTGGAGAAATGCATTCTAGAAGAGGATTATTAGTGTTTTGCGATAAAGCATATGCTACATCAGATATTTTTTCGAAATGCAATTTTAATCTAATTTATAATAATCATGTAAATAAATAATGTATTTTGTTTATATTGATTGGCGTATAATTAAGTCCATCTCATCTCGCGTATAAACGCACAGTAAAATTATTTCAATAGAGATATTACAATCATTATTTTACAAATCAAATTTTTGTAACTTATAATGATAATTGTAATCTTGCATTTTAGAGATGCATGAATGTATACCTATCTAGTCATATAGACACCCCTCTCGAAATATTTAATTATACATTTTATATGTCGTCGATGCGTAACACAAATTTTGTCGATAAATATATATATATAAACAGCGATTAAATCAATAGAACGAAAAAGTTTAATTATTTCATTGTGATAATATTTTTTCCAATTTTTCTTTTACAAAAATAAATATCGTTGGCTACGTTCAGTAGAATGTTTTGCAATTGTTGTAAATTTTTTTCGCGCTAATTGGTTCTAAAAGTAATAATCTAATCAGTGAAGAAAACTTCTAACAGTTGTAATAGGCAGAACAAACAAGTTCTGCTAAACATGGCATTTGTTTTTATTTTCTTTATCGAATTATATACAATAGCTAATGAATGATACAAATAAAGAATTAAAAAATGTAAAATAATATTTTTAAATATATTTAAGATGTATTTTATTTTACAAATATAATCTCTTCAAGAAAGAAGATACAATTTTAATTTTATATAAGATGGTTTTTAAACACGCTGTGAGTACTTTCAAATTCTACTCCGATATTTCAAATTACCGGAGA